AATATGGAAGCAAAGATGATCAAATGGCCAAAATGAAATCCTAAGACTCTCATTCAGCTAAAAACGTATCCAAGATAAAAAGCCCGATTTGGTTAAAGCACTAAGAAGATAATGATTAGCTTGAATTTTAGTTTTTAGATAGAAATCAAACTCTTGTAATTTTTACCCCTATAGCCAAACTCTTAACTATAAATAGAGAGGCTATTTACCTCTTTTCATCATCTTTTATCCCTTACTTTTCATTTTTTTTCTCTTTTTTCTTATTTATTTTCTTTAGTTTTTAGTTTAGTTATTAACTTAGATGACAGATTTGCCAATAACAAAAGCTCATTTCTTAAATTCTTTTCTTTGAATTCAAGAAGCATTGCCCAAATTTTGGATAAGTTTGCCTTTACATAAGGATTACATTGCCCCAATTTTTATGAAATACAAGACGCTCATTAAATGATAAGAAACTAATTACAACTTCAAATATTTAAGGAATAGTTGTACATTCTCTTCTGGCTCAAACAGAGGAATTGAGGTTTCATTCATATTCTTTTAGATAGGCTAATAAATAAAAAGAAATAAAAGACAATACATCAATACGAGACATCTAAGTCCTAAAAGTAAAGAGATCTATTCATTGATAGTAAAATGACAAACCATGAGCGGTGATTGGATTGATGATAAAATACAATCTGGAGTCTCGAATAGTGAGTTGATTAATGAGAAAGAAAGAGAAGTCTTGGTTCAGTTCTCCATTTTAATAACAGAAAAAAAGATTAATCAAATTCTAATAAGTCTAACTCATAGTGATTTTTATCAAAGAATGACTCTAGTTATCAAATGATTGAACAATCGAGACTAATTTACTTATGATACTTAGTTGATATTTATAAAAAGCATATAATGAATTATGGGTTCAATACATCCTTTTTAGGAGAAAGGCTTATATTTCTTACACATTATCAATCATTTATTCATAAACTTCATGTGGGGATCCTAGATGGGGGAACTTAAGGGAGCCACTGACTCTAACTAGCATCCATGCATGATCTATACTAGATCTAACTAACCACCAATCCTACCTCTTCTACATTCTTAACAGCCATATTTATCTCAATAGAGTCTTTCAGTGGCGTGTTTATCACAAACTTTGCAAATTATCATTACAAATAGCCTAAATTTTTTTAGGTTTTAGATTCATAAAGCTTACTTTGAAGGTTTGATTCTTTTAGCCTATAAATTATCTGAACAAATGAATTATACTATTACAAAGTTCATTTTTCATACTACAAAGGCCCCTAAAGAATCAACCAAAAAACATATCGAAAAGTTGAGTTTTAACAACCCAAAATTGGGCTTCTGAAAATCATTTTTGCTGAAACTAAATTCTAAATTATAGTATTACATTCCTACTTTAAATTTATGCCTCCTTTTATTTTTAGGAACTATAGGATGTTCGAAATTTTATAACTCAAAGTAAGCTAGATGATAATGAAATGCAAAAATTTCAAAACTTAAATAATTTTATTTTCAATTATTTTAAAAATTATTTTCAACCAATATTTGATGTATATAGTTATAAATTACTTGAATTTTAGTTATATTTTTTAATGAATTTTTACTTATTTTAATATATTTTTACTATATTAATTCTATGTTATTAGTATTGTTACTAATAAATTATATTCAGATTTACAAAAAAAATTATTACTATTAAATGTTAAAAATTAAAAATTTATAAAAATTTATATTGCTACTAATTTTTATGTTTTAATCTTTAATTTCATATTTATACTCAATTTTAGACATTTTGTTATATTAAAAGAAAATATTTTATTTGCTAAAGGAAAATACTTCCAAATAGTTTCAAACTGTCTAAAAAGTTACCATACAATGCAATTTGCTTAGGATGATCTAAGGAATGTTTGCTTTGTTAAATTTATGTTTTTGGATTAAATTTTAATTTTTTGAATATTTCTTGAATTATTAGGATATTAAGAAAATTGAGTGATTTGCTATTTAAATTTTAGTTTAGTGCATCACGAAAGTGACTTGATATCCCTTCGATTTTTATGTCCCTAAAAATCAATCTCAATATGTTTAGAGTTGAAATAAATAATATACATTGTTTTGTCCATTTATTTTGTAAATCAAGTTGAGCATGCAAAATATATATATGATTTATTTGTTATGAGTTTAGAATATGGTTTGATATTATTTTGATTTTCGTGTATGATTTTGTAATAATATATTTTTTTACCCATCATTTATCGGAATATAAAATTTTTCTTTGGAATGATTATGGAATTTACTTTTATGAATTATGTTTTGAGAAAATTTATAAATATTGAATTTGCATATATTGGGTAATCTAAATATATATATATATATATATTTGTCTCCTAGTATGACTATATTTTGACCTTGTCAATGGTAGTTAATTGTTGGCCATGTCGACATGTACTTTGTGATATTGTTATCGATTTCAAATCGTGCTACCAGTTAAGAATAGTGATTTTGGTTCATCATACCATTGGTAATATACTTTTGTCCCATTGCACTAAAAGGGTTATTGTGATTTTTTATTCTATCTCATTGCACTAACAAGTTAATTATGATTGTCAGTATAACGATTTAGTTGTTTCTGATATACTTCTATCCTATTGCACTAAAGAAAAATTTTTTATTTTGACCTATGCTATGGGGTTAAGTGTGATCCTAGTATGTTACAGGAGACTAATAAACTTTATAATTAGATGATATTTATTTCACTTTGTAATCTGAGAATCTAATTATGAAAATGTATTTAAATACAAAATTACAAAAAATATTTTTGAATCACTTAGTTAATACTTTAGTCTAAATGTTTTATGGCATGCTTAATCTAACTAAAAGGAAATTAGTTACTTATTGAGTCACTGTACTCTTTTTTTTTTATATATACTTTTTCAAATTTCAATGTTTGTGTCTTGGGAAACTTAATCATGGCAACTACTTGAATTAGCAAGATTAACATCTATCTTTAGTTTGGTATTACTTTCCAAATGAGTATTTTATTATTGATTCTAAAAGATTTGTTAATAAAAACTTTGGTATATTCGACTAACTTGCAAGCATTTAGCCATCTTAATCTTTCTTTGTTTTCAAGTTTGCAATTGCTATTTCTTTTAAATTTAGTTTTTGGTTATATTTTTTTACATTTTAAATGATAGTTATTGAAGTAAAGATCTATGTCTACACTGCTTTTTTAATATATATTTTTTTATTTTGCCATCAACCTTAAATTTTAATTGTTTAAATATAAAATTTTAGAATTTCATCTTTAGTAATTGAGAGCTATCTAACATTACAATTTATAATATCTTAAGAGACGATACTAAAATATTTTTATTTTATTACTTGATCTATGTACTTATAAATTATACAAAAAATAACAATCACTTTGATAAAATGTACAAAAAGTAAGAAAAGAATAAATGATCAAATGTAACCAAAGCTCGCCAAGGAGTTTCGTTAACTTCAAGGTTTGCATAAATCCCATAAAAAATAAATTATCAAAGAAATGGGTATTTTAAAATGGACAGAAAATGAAGTGAAAAAGGGAAAAAGTACTGAAATTTCTGAGTGAAGAAGATGTTTTCGGAGAAAAACGCATTGGAGTGAAGATGAAGTATGGAAGATAGTAGCTGATGAGACGCTGAAAGTTGCAGTTCCCGGCGTGGCCATTTGGGAAAAACAAGAGAAACAGAACAAAGGTGTTTGAAAATGCTAGAGACAAGAATTTAGATGGAACAAAAATCTTTGCTTGCTTTACTTAAGGGAAAGGAAAGTCTTGAATGATTGGGCTAAACCTTTTCTTTAGCTTAACCTCTATCTTTGTTGCTGCCCAAATTTGTTTACTTGGGATATGCCTTCTAACTTTTTAATAAAAGAATAAAACATGTTTTGATAATAATTTGATTAAAAAATATAATAATTTAAATTTAAATTAATTTAAACACCAAAATTATTTGAATTCTAACAAATAATTAAAAATTAAATTTGTTTAAAAATTAATAATTTAAAATAAAATAATCCAAGTTATTTTGATGAAAATGTTTGAATAAAGGATCTTTTACTTTGCTTTTGGGGTTTAATTTTTTTATTTTTGTTTATCTATACTTTTTAAATTATAAAGAAGTTGTTGTTGAATTTTGGAATCTATTAAGTGCAAGAAAATTTTCTCCAAATAAAAGGATTAAACTCCAAAAACATCTTTTTATATAATACCACATAATGCGATTATAAAAAACTTTTCAATCATTTAAAAATGAAAAGGGATAAAATAAAAAAAAATTTATAAATCTATTAAACAAACTTCAAATCAATTAACATAATAGAATAATAGAATATGAAAATTAGTTGAATCAATAACAATCAAATACTTGTATAATATGAATAAAGATTATCAAAATCCGTAAGCATCTTCTCCAAGACTTTGCCATTTTTAATCACTTCCTTTTCATCTTCTGATCCCCATAGATAACTCATCTCAATTTTCTTAAGATGCTGCAATAAACAGGAAGGCTGAGGCATGGGTGGAATCCAACCGAAATTATCCTCAACATCAAGTTCTCCACCGTAATCATCCAATGCTTCAGTTAATAAATCCATACCTTCCTGATAAATAAGCAAAATTATAACTAGAGAAGTTAACCATATGAACCATTTAGTTAAAATATTTCCATTAGATAAAAGCACTCACCCTTTCCAACAGAAGTGATTCGAGAATAGGTGAGTTCCTTAAGAAGTGAGAAAATGATTTCCAACCAAAGAAATGATCAATCACCATTTCAAGACGCAGCAAAAATGGAAATGTGGGAAAATCATCATGAACAGCATAGCTAAGAGCCTTCAATCAACATAGGAACAAGAGTCAAATAAATTAATGAGCAGCACTGAAAAACGTAGCAAACAGCAAAAGAACGATCATGAAAATGGAATGGCATGTGCATGGCATAACATGATTAAGAAATTAAGTTTGTTCATCAGGGCGAAAATAATTAACTTACAGCAGTAGTACTAGCCTTAAGATTTAGAAATTTGGTATTTCTAATTCCTTTGAGAATTCCCATCATCACTCGATGGACTTCTTGCTGGGATAGTTTATCCTTGTAGAAGAAAGTAAAATCGACAATACTAACCTTGGCTTCAAGTAGGGAGGGTATTTCATCTACCACAAAATAAGTCATGAAATCATCTAGAATGGTAAGATATTCAAGGTTTGGGGTCTGAATAATGAACTTTTGATCCCAGAAAATCTCAAATCGTCTGCTAATGTCAATCTTCAACCTTTTCAGAGTTGGTATAGAAATCGTGAAAGTATGCTTAACCTGATCATCACCATCCTGGTACAAAATTACTCTGATTAACAAATCTTCAAGCACCGGACATCTACAAAATAATGTACTCAAAAACTCGCAATCGGGATACGCAGCACCAACACGAAGGACTTTCAAACTGGGGAAACATGTGATTGTTGAAGGAATAGTGAAAACGAAGTCGTTTCCAAGTGTTAGTGCCACCAGTGATGCGCAACTTGAAAAGTTTTCAGGCAACCTAACACGGATTCTTTCGTCATTTTCCAAAAAGAGGAAGAGACCAAGCTCCTTCACATTGCAACGCTGCGCATAGCTAATCCATTCATTGACGCGACGTGACGGAACTAGAAAATCCCAGAGTGAATGTCTGAATATTTCCGGATCCACGAAGGCGAAGAACTCGGTCCACAAAGTCCATAAAAACCTGATTTCTATCCTCCATTTCAAAGAAGTGAAAATCACTGAAGTTAAGACTGTGGATATAAGTCCAAAGGTACCTCCATCTTCTGAACAATACGGCCGTTTGAAAGGCTTCTTTTATGTTAAGATAAGAGAGGATATGACCCACAACGCCATTAGGCAATTTGCTGATAAAATCTTCTTCGCCGACTTTCCTGGTATCCATTTGCCAAGTTAGACTTCGGACGCTTGTAACTTTCCCTATTGCTGCAACTGCAACACCCCAAAAAAATGCATAGGGTTCAGGAATATGCTGAAATGATACGTCTTTTCACGAAATAATATTTGATAAATAAGTGTGATTTTTCGTTAATAAATAAATATAACTTTTTTCATTTGTTAAACAATTGTAACTTTTCATGAACAAACGTAATTTTTTTATAATTTTTATTTAAAAATTATAATTATTTGTGACACCAAAATATATTCTCTCTTTCTCTTTTTTTTTTTTTTTGTTAAGAACCACCAAAAAAATACTTAAGTGTACCAAAAATAAATTCCAGGTTTTTATTAAAAATAAGTGAAAAAATATCTATTGAATCAAACCCAATAAGAAACACTTATCAAAATCAAAACTGAGCAATTTATGTTGAAAACTAGTTCCCAAGCCAAGACCAACGCTGTTGTTGGAGTTGGCCTTTTGATGTTTTCAATTTTTTTCACAAACCCAATCAAACTAAAGAGACACTTTAGCCCAAAACTACATGACCTAATGGCAACCCAATCCTAGAAAAAAAACCAAAAATGATACAACCCAATATCTAAAATAATCTAGATCGAAAGTGACAGATATCTGAAATTGACCTAAGTGGTGGTCGTTAAGGTAGGAGTGGATTTAGAATGCCAGCAAAGTACATGAAGGAAACTCTGATCAAGATTATGAACATATAGTATATATATTTATATGATAGCATTCAGGAATTGAAGTAAACAATCGACTACTCCATTTTCTGATCAGCCTTGCACTCTTATCTACAAAACAGCATCCTCCCTATTCATCATCTATAGTGGGAAAGGAAGGAAGGTGTCACAATCACATCTTTATCTTCTATATGTTGTGTTGAATTTAAAAGAAGAAAATAAACAAAAAATGAAAAAATGCATATTATAAACAATCAAAATCCTTCCACACTATCCCTTCTAAGGGTTGCTGACGATGATCTCCGACTTTCTTGCCTTTCAAGTTCCTCCAACGAGATGGTAGAGGAACAAGCTCCAGGTGGAAGAGACAATGGCAAAGTAGGTGGTCTTGTAGGAGAAACAGACAGCCGGGCTCCTGATGGTGGTGATGGTGAGAAACTTAACCTGGGTGCAGGGGTAATAATCCCATTGAGACTAGGTGACCTTGACATTTGTTTTACAGCAATTGCCGCTGGCTCTTGCAGAGGAAACCTACAGGAATATTTCATGTCTTGGATGATTTTGAGATGCTCAACTATGGTTCTCATGGTCGGCCTTTCTGATGGGTCCTTCTGGAGACATCTTTGTGCAATGTCAGCCACTGTACGAGCAGCCTTCATAGGAAAGCGACCTTTGAGCTGAGAATCCATGATAAGTGACAATCTACAATCATCAGCTAGGAATGGTCGGCTCCACTTCACTAGGTTCCTCTCCTCCCTGGGATGAGAGCTACCAAGGTTCTTCCGGCCAGTGAGTAATTCAAGTAGGACAATTCCAAAACTCCAAACATTGCTCTTTGGAGTTAGCCATCCTCTCTCCAGGGTCTCTACTGAAAGATTTGCCACAGCCTGCACAGATGGAGAGATAATTACCAACCGATAACTCAAACAAGTAACTTTTAAGGTGTAGAGAGATCCAATAAAAATCAAGTCAACTCAACACACCATGGTTTGTCTTTTAAGGCAAAATAACTTACAACTGAATTAGTGGAGATCTCTTCTGTTTCCAGGATATGACCTACGCACCCATATCCCGAAAGCTTTGCACTGAAATCTTTGTCAATATGTATGTTGGCAGTTGAAAATTCATTGTACATTGCCTGCATATGATAGAACCTTTCTGTAATTAGGCAAGCATAAAAATGATATAGTAATTGGGAAAAAAAAAAAAGGCAAATTTCCAAAAGTTACTAATCTACAAGGACTAATGTACCAAAAATGGGAAATTGTTTCATATCAACCACAAAGGACTAAATGAATAATTAGAAAAAAAAAAGAGCTTGTTTCAAAGAGAACTGTCATGCCCATTACACATGATCAAAGTTCAATCCATAGGGGCATATGATAAAATATCATTTGGTTTTTATCATCTCAAAATGTAGATGTACATTGAGATTTTAAATACCTGAAATGGTCCTTCCTCATGTAAGAAAGTAAGACCCTGTGCAGAACATAAAGCAATTTTCATTCGGGTATTCCAATCAAGTGGTGGTCCATCTGATCTTCCATATAGAAGCCTGTCCAAGCTTCCATGAAACAGCCTCTCATAGACCAACATTCTTTGTTCTGAACTATCACGTGCATGGTATCCCAGCAATTTACAGAGGTTTGGATGTTGCAATGATGCAAGAGTGTTTACTTCATTTATAAACTCCCTTAAACCCTACAAGAACACAGAAAGAACAAAGTAAGACCGGATAACAATATCCTCAAACTTTTCTGAAATTAAAGGCAAACCATTTTATTTTTGCAGCATAAGGAGCACAATATTCACTACTTGTTGAACTCAATTCTTTCTCATCACTATCGTGATAGCAATAATTTCAAATTTAAATTATTGGCATGCATACAAGGAAGAGTGGATAAAATAAAATTGTACATTTAATGAAGGCAGTTAGTTCTAACCGAATGACAATAGCAAAAATACTAAAATTGTGTAAAGAAAAATAAAATATAAGGACCAGCAACAACACCAAGTGTTTCCCATTAAATAAATCAACATTGAAGGATCATGAAAAATTATGCAAACCAATCTAAATTACCAACAACTTCCTTCTTTTAAACTAGCAACCATGTCAGGCTGGCAAAGAATCAATAAGTAGAAGAGCGTAAAAGAAAAGGAAAGGGATGTAATTGGGAAGTAAGTGGTTCACAAAAAAAGCATCCCATAAAACATAAATTTTCATTAGTAGAAATTTTATTGTACCTGGGCGGATGGGTGAAGGCGAGTAACAGTAGCTTCAAACTTCTTTGAACTTGATACATCATCTCCAAAAGAAGCCTTATACATGACAGAAGAAAGACCCTCAGATGTGCATCGATCAGAAGAGAAATAATGGCATGCAGCTGCAATTTCTTCATAAGTGAAGGTTCGTAGTGTTCCAGAGGGAGGCAGGGGCAATGGTCCAGAAGCAAACAGAGGGCCACTGGCATTCCCTGCTTTAAAGCTTTCCACTGTCTTCAGGACAGCACCACGGGGAGATGGAAGTGGAAGAGGTTGTGGACTTGATAACATCTGTTCCTTCACTCCTCCGACACGACTCTTCAGCTCTTCCTGTTCTTCAAATTCAACTGATGCAAGTGCATCTTGCTCAGCACCATCAAGACTTGATGGGGCAGATAATGCTCGTGTTCTATTGCTGGTTGCCTTGTTATTAGGTTGAACTGGTTTTACTCTGGTTCTAAAACTAGGGGGTGCAGATTGCAGTGATCGGGTCTGGACTTGGGGCTCAGGCAGTGTGGTGGGCATATGCGTCTTATGAGCAATGCGTTTTACAAAAAATGACTGCTCAGACTTTTTCTTCCTACTTTTCAAAACTGTAAAACATCCCATCTTATATACAAATCCCTAAGCTGTATTTACGTATTCAATGTTTCTGCAAAAAAGAAAAATAAAAAAGCACACAAATCAACAGAAGTTTCAAATTGGCGAGAACATAATTAATGACAATATATAGGCATAGGAACTCTATTGCAAACAGGGTCTGAGAAGGACAAAAAGGGATTGGACTAACTCATTGTCTTATCCTATAAGATGAATAATTCATATCCACCAACAAAATTAATAATCCCAAATCCCCAGTGCCTACACTACAATTTGAGTATTCGAACATCTCTTTCTGATAAAATCTGGGACTTCATTTCTTGAACGAGTTACATAAAGTGGTTATTGTAAAATTATATGTAAGAAAACGTGTTCAGTTCATGTCACAACTACATCAAACGAAAACCCCCTATATTCAATTCAATAACTTCATAGATTCTGTAGTTGAGGCATAAAGCCCAACTAGTAACACCTTGCTCAAACAAAGGCGTTCCAAGTACAAATCTTTAACCAATAACAACAAACGACTACATGGATTACTTATGACACATTACACGCCCATAAACTCTAAAATAATTCATTGAATAAGCTGACAAGCAGGATATCAACTTTCAAGTGCATATTTACTAATAAGTCATTGGCATGGCTCCATAAAACAAGGAAAATAACATCAATCACACGGCACAATGCGATTTAACTGGCTAAAGAATTGCAGGGGAAATTCTTCTTTTTTAGAACTACAAAAACATCCACTGCTCCCAAACCATTTTACAGTTCCAAATCACCATATAAACAACTGGGCAACATAAATTTGTAACAACCAAAAATTAGCAAATGGGTCAGTCTACCAGCACCTGGGTAAAAAATTCAACCCCAGATCCAAAAGAATCGAAACGTGAAAAAAAAAAAAAAAACACACACACACACACAAATTTGCACATCTACTTATCAGCTATTAGAATTTTCGTATCTGCATGACTAATATAAAGCAATAATAAAACCAAATCAGGCAAAACCACAACTTTCAGAAAAAACCCACCATGAAATCACTAATGAATTTCAATGAATTCTAGCAAAAAAAGTATAAGGAAAAAAAAAAGGTAAGAATCAAACCTTATGAAAGAAGGTCATGCAAGCCAAACTTGAAAGAGATAGGGGCAAAATGGTGAAAGATGAAAACCCAGAAATCCTGTTTGTGTTGGGTAGATGAGGAAAACACCTTTGCAAGTCAAAGAAAGCTAATGGGAAAAGGTGTTTTAAGAGTGGAAGATTTTTGAGTGAAAGAAAGAAAAACTAGGCAGAAAAAAATGAGGAAAAATTTTTGAAGAGAGAGAGAGAGAGAGAGAAAGAGAAATGAGCAGTGGTCAAACCAACCAATTAAAATTTAAAATTTATCATTATTATTATTATCGCTACAACAGAAATGTGCTTCCCATTTCTTTCATTTTGACATTTTTGCCCTCTACTTTTTTTATATATAATACATATTATTTTTAATTAATACAAAATAAAATATAGAAAATTTCAAAATATATAATTTTTATAATGAAATCATTTTTTAAAATAATTTTATTTTAGTTCAATCTCAAAGTAATTTAATTTTGTTATTTTAGTTTACTGTCTCAGAGTGTAGAAATTAGTTTATAGAGGCAGTGGCTTGAAGGAAAATATTAAAAGATGCGTGAGTAAAAGGGTAAATTAGAGGTGCACCACGATTTTCAACAATGAGGGCATCGATTGAAGTGACAGGGCAGTCAAAGTTTGGAAAATTAGTTGTTTTTTTTTTTAAAAGCATGTTTCCCGTCTGGTCAAAATGACCTATCAAGATTGGCATTTGAATATCGATGCTGATCGTCCGATTCATTCACTGTTGAAAGATCGTCGGTCAGGATCTACTCTTTAAAAAGCTTGGTGGGACCCATCGAATCAACAAAATTTTGTCCTTTTCCCTTAATAGGGAAGAAAAAAATTTGTGGGTCGGATCTACTGGGCCTAATTAGGTCCATTTTCATTGTTCAAACTTCAATGAGTGCGGGGTTCAATGTGGATTGAGGCTGGGCTCATGGGCTTATGCTCAGTTTTTTATGATTTATTTTTTTTGAAACTAGGTTTTTATAAAGCTGAAACCCATTCACATTCCATAAAAAATTAATGGAACTTTGAGCTGGAAAAAAATTATATGAAATGTTTACTCCACATTTAGTTTATGTTTTTTTTTATGTAAATTATGTCACATTAGTATGTTATTAGAAAAAAATTAATTATTTATTACACATCACATGTAATAATTAAATGATAAATATTTATTTTAATAAATTTATGTATGTGATATGTAATAAATAATTAAATTTTTTATTTATATGATTATGTCACATAATTGAAATGAAAGGAACACAAAATAATTGTTTCATATAATATTTTTTCTTTTGAGTTGGGATTCTCGTATTCTAGAATTCAAAATTTAAATGTAAAGGGGTAGAAAACTATCAATAAATGGAAGGACCTGATTGAAATATAAAATTAATTGCTTGACAAAAGGCTTTAACAAAATCATGAATAAATGTTAATTTTAGAGTGCTTATGTAACTTAAATATTTAGACTTTACATGATTTGGACATTTTGTATATTTGGTAAATAAAAGACAATGTAGTAAAAGAAATTAAAAGAATTTATTAATGAACAGGATAAGCATATTAATGGGTCATAAACATTTAACAACAACCCATTTATTATATGACACATCTATTTGTCTATAATTTTTAGCCAAAGAATATCTAAACCAATTTATTAGTGATCAAGAAGGGCAAATGCCAAATGACATGTTGGCAAAATGCTTAACCAAAATGCCAATTGGGTCAAGTCAATTGGCCTTTAGTTCAAGTGGTAGGGTTGGGGTGAGATTGAGCAAATTGGATTTTAGCATTTATTTCAAGTGGCAAGAGTGGAGTGAGATCTTGACAGAGATATTAGATTGATTAACATATAAATATGAAGATTCTACCATCAATTTTCATGTTTAATGGATTAACAGAAAGCTAGGAAAAAACCTGCTCATTAGATCATGAAGTAAAAATGACCAATGCCTTATTACCATACTGTTTCAATCGATTCATAGCAGATTTAACATCTGGGTGTCGGATAGTTAAGGTTTTCTTCCCAGGCGAAGTACGAGTTTTTCAAGAAGACTGAGGAATGTGGATTTCAGGTTCTTTTTTGTTCCGTGGAAATTCAAACTGTTGATCCTGATTTCAATTAAAACTTGAGAATGAACTTGTGGAGCTTAAGCAGGAGTGAGAATAGCTGGAACTTCCCGGTGGGTAAGATTTTTGTTGCATTTAGTTTGAAACCGAAGTTTTTGACTCTGGCTTGAATGTTTACTTTCCGGGGTTGCTACTGCTTCTGTGCTTGCATTTTGCTTTGAAGAGTAAGTGCATTGCTCAATGAAAGAGTACTAAACTTGTTTGTGCTTTGACTAGCCGTTGAACCAGTTACCCTAAAGAATTATGGTTTGCTCAAGGAATGCAGCCTAAGCATTTTGGCATGTATTTGATGGGGGCTTTATGATGAAGGTGAAACCCATTGTAGATTGTTTTCTAGGAATCTACGGGAAAGAGTGCAAGTCACCAAATGGGGTAGTAGACCAAGCGATCAACGTAAAGATCGGGAAGAAAGTTGAAGAGTGCAAGCGAAATGGGCCAGAGCTTGAATAATGTGTGCAAAGCATGTAATTCATGTACACATGCCTAGTGCAGTTGCACATGCATAAAAAAGTTGCATCAGATCAGATTAGTTGACCTTAAACTTGTTACTTATAAATTTTTTATTTCTCTAGACTCTGGATGATGAACAGTCTATCTTTACTGTAACTATCTTGTACTTCAAACTTGTGAGACTTAAACAGGAAAAGAAAGGAAACATCCAGTATTTGACATTGGCTCCTACAAATCTGCATCAATTAATTTCCTCTCATATGTTGAAAATCTAACAACCACAAGAACAGTAAAGCTCTAATAGACCTCCAGTTCTCACTCTGGTGGTCAAATTGCACTAACTTCCCTCTTCAACAACTAAGACAACGCTGTCATGCTGATGATTACCTAATCCATTTTCTGGTGGTTGCCGGCCAGTGACTTCCTGGGATGTTTCAGGATTTGCTGTATCATGTTCAAGTAACGAATGCCGACAATTCGGGCAGGATGAGTTTGACACCAACCATGTGTCTATGCACCACACATGAAATCCATGGTTACATTTTGGCAGCACTCTAACTTTGTCTCCATCCACAAACTCTCCTAGGCAAATAGGGCACTCAGTGGACGGAAAATTCACGCCTGTCCCATAAACAGCCACAGGAATTTGTCTCAAATCTCGTTCTTTGAGACCTGCTGCTGCCAAGCGAACAGCTGCTTGCTCCGGAGTCTCCGGGGCAAACCTGCGGCCGCAACGCGGAGCGCAACGCACTATTGAATTCAACCCCAGCGCACAGATCAGAGCACATAAAAGGGCTGCCAATATAATCACCATGTTGGAGTCAAAATTTGCCTCGCTGATGTAAGAATCATGAGTTTTGTTTCCATTTGCTGGTGTCAAGCTCACTTCTGTCTCAAGTAAGCGGCGATGCATATTCACAGCTGCTGGTAACATTGCTGACCACTTGAAATTTTGATGGAAAAACAAAAACCAAGCAAGTTTGGTGTTGAACGAGTGTTTCGAACCCCTAAAAGGTTATAGCTTTTGATAGTTTTGTTTGATAAAAAGGAAAAGGAAGTGGAAAAAAAAGTCAAGTCGGTTTTCCTTGGGCAGCACTGAAAGGCCTTGGGAGGTTCTTTGGGGCTACAGTAATGTTGTCAAGATTCTAACTAGAAAGAGACACAGAAAGAGCATCTTCTTTGTCTCTAGGATAAGGAAGACTGAAAATTGTTTTGTGGGTGGCTGTAATCCGAATCAGGGACCGTTTTCGCTGCAGGATTCCCCAGCTTCTTAATCAGCAATGGTCCTCGCATTACTGAAACATGTATCTTCTTGTAGCCGAAAACAAACAACAAAGCAAAAGATGATTGAGATTTCAAAACAAAGAAGATGATTGAAAGCCTTACCTGAGTCTCTCTGTTTTTGCTACAGACTTCATGGCTACAGGTTTTGCCCAAGGAGATCAAAATTCCCCCTTTTCATCGCCTGAAAACTAGTTGCAGTAAAGAATGGAAAGGCTAATTTATATCAAGCTGATTGCTGTCTTTGCAGGGATCAGGTTTCAAGAGATGCATGCTATCATACAAATGGAAGACCCAGAGTTGAAGTAAGTTGTAAGTGTGGTTGCTCTGCCTACCTAATCATGATTGGGTCACTTTAAAACCTTTGATACTTGGTACCAAATCCACTCATGATCCCCGGATTAAACAGTGTTTATGACCTAGTAATTCCAGCGTGTTCAGCCAATGAAAAAGATCTTGGTCATATGTGAGATGCAGCTTGATTCATAGTGGAAAGTTTGCTGCCATTTTCTGATTTGGCTACTTATGACTTTTGACATCATTGGCCTGCAAAATATCTCATACACTTTTTCCCTTCCAAACTACCCAGTGAACTGATGTTATCCATTTTTAACGATGCAAGCAATTTTCATGAAAAGAAAATGCAACTTGGTCATTCTACCCATAAACCAAAAACATAGAAAAAGAAAATGCAAAATGGGAAACTACTCAAAATACCTTCGTAAGTTTCATTTGGGATCACCATACCCACCAATCGGACACTTGTCATAATATACTCTCCCGTTTGAAATTGACGGTATTAATTTTTACGAAATTTTTTTAAAAAATTATTTTAATATTTAATATTAAAATTAGATTTTGAAACATCTAAAAAAAATAAATAAAAAATTGAAACAGAGAAAGTAATATTTAAAGATTTACCACCTTGACTTAAAGAAAACCTCCCAACATTAATGTATCAAATAATAACAATTTTTCCTTTAAAAATGAAATAATAATGATAATTTTGAATTGAATTAGCAAGTATTTTATAAGTTAAATATTGATATGGTTAAAATTTTCAAGAACCCTTGAAAATTAATCAAATTCTTTTGTCTCAAACTATGATAAAAAAAAAAAAAAAGTCAGATGGGGCTTAGATTTTATCCCATTTTTTGGGATAATCTATAAAACTTCTTCCCCGCTGATGAGGACATTGTACCATTGCTGACAAAAGCTAATCGCGTGACCGACGGATTGATCTCGTGACCGTCGGGGACACGTTGAGTGGACAAAAGATTAAATTGTGGGGTTTTTATGTCATGGTGTTGTTGATTTTTGATCAGGCGGTGGACCCCCGGATGGAACAAATGGGGCTCCATAGTTGGTGTTGGTGAATTTCGGGTTACACCAATGAGAAATATACTATGCTTTGAACCACTTGGCTAACGAAGCTCATTGTTTAATGTTTGTTCAGTTGGGTAATAAAGAATGTAAAAGCTGTTGGCAGTTGGAGAGATCCACCCATTTTCCCATACATATACTTTACAAGGCCAAAGCTTGGTCGGAAGAGATGGATTCAGCGACCAAAACCAAAATTAGCAAACCTAGTACTTAGTTAAACTAACCTTAATTGTTTATGCACACTTGGACGTCGTAAGAAAACATAAAGGAAAAGGTTGATCAGAGGTGTTTTGATTTTTAGTTTTGAGCTTTTTTTTTTTTAAGTCAATTGATATTTATTGTCAATTTAAATGATTATATAAATAAAAAATTAAATTATAATAAATTTTTTAAAATTTAAAAATCGCGAGCGATATTAGCTCATTTATATATCCTAACATTAGCGGTCACATTTAATTCGCTTTCATTTTGTTTCGACTTTCGAGCTACAGCCGAATTCTTTCAATAGCCGTTTTGATGTTGGCCTTGTGGGGTTATCATTTTTCCCCCTTATTATTAAATTGAATTATCGAACATTAATGTTTGGCCTCGTGGGATTATCTGATTGCACATCAGCTTTTCTTCTCCTTCTGAAGCGAAAACACGCCTGTTAATGTGATGTTATTTTATATTTAATAAATATTTATAATTTTATAATTTTATATTTAAATTAAATATTTTATTTATAGTTAATTAATTTTAAATTAAATATTTAATATAATATCAAAATTAAAATATTTTTTTGTTATTTTATTTAAATTTTTAACATAATAAATTTTTTTATTTTTGTTTATATAGTTTCATTTACATGTGATGAAAACATGTTAATGTGATATTATTTTACATCTAATAAATATATAATATTTTATAATTTTATATTTGAATTAAATTCATTTACTTATTATTAATTGATTTTAAATTAAATATTTAAATTTATCTACAATGATAATCTTAAAATTAATGTTTTCAACAAATTAATTATTCATTATCTGGGCAGGTAGCTTTTCTTTTTTTTAATTCATCATTCAAGATTTTTTTAAAAATATCCACTTATTTATATATAAAATTATAAATGATAAATTAAAATAATAAATTATTGGTGTTGCACCATTTTATTTAATTGAAAATTACCTATTCATAAAAAGTAGTCAACGCTTTTTCACAAACTTTGATTACTGCGTTGCCTAAAACGTTAATACTTCTATTGTTTTTAGGTTTACTGTGTTTACTAAAGAACTGCATTTATCAATTTTATTACTGATAAATATGTTTAAAAAAATTTTAAAATGTCTAACAAAATTTTACTTTTCAAATTTTATTATTTTTTTCACATGGACATCGCACCTATGACTTTGCATCCTCCTTTATTCATGATTATTAAATAGGTAATTTTATATACAACATAATAATATGACACAAAAATAATATAAAAAAATATGTATGTATTTGATGTAATTATATTTTATATTTTAATTGTATCAACACAATTAAAATATGATATTATTCATGTCGTGGTTGTGTCAAATAATAATGATATGTTTAAGATACAGTATTGTTCATAATATAAAAAATTTTTAAAATTGTTTTAATTTATTTAAAAATAAATAAATTATTATATTTATCATATCATTTTGATGTTTAAATAAATTATAAATTATTAAATTTTAAATAATTTTTTGTAAAAATATTAATTTAAATTATATTTTTATTTAAATAAATGAATTAATAATATCTAATAGTATTATTCATATATAATCGTATTAATTATGTCATATCTTATCGTATTATTTTGATAATTAATTATGTTTAATCATGTTATTCGTATATAATCATATTAATTGTATCATGTAATGTTGTATCACGTTTTGTCATATCATGTCGTGTTAATTGAGTATAAATTAATTTTAAATATATTAATCATATTATGTTACGTGTAACACGTTTAATAAATATGTCATATTCGTATTTAAATTATTTATATTTTTTATATATTCATATCGTATTTATGTCGAAATTATTCGTACCATATTTGAAACGTATATAATAAAAAATACGATACGATGATATGAATTATTAAGTTTAATGATTATGATAAGGTTTTTTTTTTTTTTAATAATGAGATTAAGAACATCTCTCTAATTCTCTTTCAAACAATTTTAAAAGCATAACTTAATACATTCAAGAATTTTATTTTAATACACGTAAAGGTCAAAGCTAGGTTGAAAATTAAAAAAAAAAAAAAAAACTCATTTCCATATAATTAGACTAATCTTCGTGGTTTATTGATATACCATTTTCTAATGAGCCTAAATTATTATAAAATATTTAATATTATATTTAAATTTTAAAATATTTTATTATAGTACTTAAATTAAGAATTTATTAACTAGTGGTATTTAAAATGTTATTTGATTGTCACTTATTATTTGAAATTAATCATGCTAAAAGTAAGTATCATATTAATTAACAAATTTATAATTTAAATATTATATTAAAATATTTTAAAATTTTAAATATTTTATTATAATTCAATTGTGATCTGTTGTGTTACTCCGACTACAAAAATATATAAAAACTCAAACTTTATCACAAATGAGTTGGGCTGTTCAGGGATTGGGCTCAAGTCATTATTTGGATTATAAGTCAAGAGTTCAGATTTTTAGTCAAAAACATTGGGCCACGACCACTCAATTTCTAAATATCCAAGTTAAGTGTTTGGGCTAAGAATATTTTTGGCCCATATAGCTAATATATTGCAAATAAATACAGACATTAACAAGTACAATTAAGACAAAAAAAAAGTGTTACAATCCTTTTGGTACTTTAGAATTTAGATAAATAATAATATGTACTAAAATTTATTTTAAGTAGGCGATTGATGTAAATAGTTAAAATTTAAGATTTGGATAAAAAAAATCTAAATTCAACCTCATCATCCCTTATTAATCGGTGATTTATAAGTTCAAAAAATTTCAAAAAAGTTTATAAATTCTTTATGGAGTAATGATTTATCCTAACTTTAAAAATGAAATAATTTTTCCTCATTAGAAACTGTTTTTTTTTTTTTATATGTAATTAGAAACTGTTTTTAATAAAATAGTAACTAAAATTTCTAATAGGAACTTTCTCACTTTCTGTATTTTAAATGATCAATCTTCCAAAAAAAAAAAGTGATTAGTTGGCTGAAAACACGACCACATCATCAGAACTTCAATTAATAACGTGTGATAAAATGACTATAGCAAACTGATTTTTTTTTATTTTGATCATGAATTTTTTTTTTTTCAATGAAACCAATCACATTAAACATAACTAAGAATTTTATTTCAATATTCTTTTTTATAATATGATTTAAAAATTTTTGGGATGGCTTTTTTTTCAAGTTATAAATCCAAAAAAAAAAAAAAAAAAGGGTTTCTGGTGTTGATGAAAGTTGAAGTGATGCAGAGGGGAATTTATGGGTGGCGAGGCAGTTGCAGTTAATAGAGTCTTAGTGGCTTCAACTGCAAGCAATTAGGAAAACGCGTGGAACAACTCAGCTCCAACTCAACTCAACTCCTGTTCTTTAATTTCAGGGTTTCACTTTTACCTCTTACTCCAACCGTAATTTATTTAATCAGAGTTATCTATTGCAGATAATAATCTATATTATAAAACTTTCAAAATTTTAATAAACTCTAAGCTCAAAATATTTTTACATTCTATGTGTCCAAAATAAATATTTAATTTCAGACGAATGGAATGTTATATATATATAAATAATATTTCATATATATACCTCCAAAACACTATGTTTACATGGGATTTATTTTTTTTTTTTGTATTTTTTGTAAAAGGCTGTTTTTACAATTCGAATTTGTGATCATCTAATCATATGACATCAACCTTATTAATTGCACTAAAGCTTCCCCCAAGTCTAAAAATATACACATAATTAAAAACAAAATGTTGGTAATTAATTTAATGATATTATTTCTCTGGTTTTCCTTTTTTTTTTTTGAATTAATTTACATCTAACTATATCCATTAAAAGAAGGCGTTGAGAAAATAGAGAATATAATTGTGGCATCCAAGAGGCAGGGTCCAATGAATAAAAATTTGCATGTGCTTTTTGATAACTATCTTTCAGCAGTTAGGTTGCTTTGCTGCTATGGCAGCCTCCTTAGTGCAATATCTTTTTCTTTTAATGCTGCTTTTCTATAAATGCCTGTACCCTTTTGCCTCTAATCCTCAAACCCTTGCTCAAAGCTAGCAATAAAGCCAACCAATTGTTTGTGCTAGCTCTCACTCAAATGGCCACCACAACAATAATATTGCCAATATTGTCATTTCTCTTCTTCTATCTGTTCAGTATCTGCAGCTGCTTCCATGCCACTAATGGAGATGATAATGGCGGTTGGCAAATTGCCCATGCTACATTCTATGGTGGTGCTGATGCTACAGGCACAATGGGTGAGTTTCAGATTTGAGAATAAAATAATTCTTGCATGAATTTTCTTTTCTTAATTTGCTCTAAAATGTTTCTAGGCTATATGTTTGTGATGTTCGTTTAGGGGGAGCATGTGGTTATGGAAACTTGTACAGCCAAGGGTATGGAACCAGCACAGCAGCTTTGAGCACTGCACTTTTCAACAATGGCTTGAGTTGCGGTGCCTGCTACGAGCTGCGGTGCAATGATGATCCTAAATGGTGCATTACTCGAACCATAACTGTGACAGCCACCAACTTTTGTCCTCCTAATTACGCGTTGTCTAGTGATAATGGTGGGTGGTGCAATCCCCCTCGAGAACACTTCGATTTGGCGGAACCCGCTTTCTTGCAGATTGCAGAATATCGAGCCGGAATTGTTCCTGTTCTTTTCAGAAGGTAGAAATCCTCTCACTGAACCTGCTATCTTCACCTGTTTTCATGACGGATGATTGTTCCTAACAGACCAAATGCATTTGGACTTGGCAGGGTTTCTTGTGTGAAGAAAGGAGGCATCAGATTCACCATCAATGGTCATTCTTACTTCAACTTGGTGTTGATAACAAATGTAGGAGGCGCAGGGGACATAACTTCGGTGTCAATCAAGGGTTCCAAAACAAGGTGGCTACCAATGTCAAGAAATTGGGGCCAAAACTGGCAGAGCAATGCCTACCTTAATGGCCAAAGCCTCTCCTTCAAAATGATTGCCAGCGATGGCAGGAGTATCACCAACTACAATGTAGTGCCTGCTGGTTGGCAGTTCGGACAAACTTTTGAAGGAGATCAATTCTAGACAAATTACTTCCAATATAAACAAGATTTGGCAAATTATTATATATATAATATATATCAGGCACATGAGCGTATTATGCAGAGGTAGCAAAATGGCACCCGCTGGCTTTATGTGTGAAATTGGCGAGCAAGTGCCATGGCTTATATAGGTACATTACTATATATATAGTGCGTCCCAACTATCAAGTTTGGAGGGAATAAGCTGGACTTTCCTTCCATAAGATTAATCTGTCGGAAATTTGTTAATTGACCATAATATTTATTGTTTTCCCGTGACTAAAATACTTATATATAAATAATGATACCTCAAGTGTCAGAGCTTTGACCTTTGTTTTGAACACAGATTTTATGATCATATTCCAATACAGTAACGAGAAATTAGATTCACCATTGGATCTCTAACAGCCCTCTAACATGTAGAAAGAAAGATACTTTCTTGATTAGAGCCCTGCCAAATGTGGGACATCAGTCACCATAAAATAAATCTTTTGCAAATACCTTTCATAGGTGCATAGCAAACGGCAAGAGTAGGAGGAAAAGGGGGTACTTAAAATCCAGATGAGAACAGGAAGAAAATGACTCAAAAGGATTTAGGAGTCTGATTATGCTATAATTACCTAGAAAGTGTGATTTGTCCAAACCCCTTTCTCATGTTAGATAAAAGAGACATCTTCGGAGGTGTTTTTTTTACAAAATTCACAGCACTTCCAAGAGTATAGAAGTTGCTAACTAAAACTGGATGAAACTCCATGTCTGCATACACATTCTCACCTACTCAAAGCACAATTCTTTACAAGCATGATGAACACAAATGGACATGCAAAAGAAACACCACCTCTACTGAAAAATAGCCAAGACAGCACAAAATCGTACGAAACCATGCCAAGAGATTCAATAATTCAACAAGGAGTACTTCACTCTCAAAACAATTTTGCCTTTCTCAACACCAAGCTTTCCACCAGTAACCAACCAATGACCTGGAGGATCTTGCGGCCCTTTGCTCATCTCAGACATATCAACTAATTTTGCCAACTTGTTTACAATGTTTTCTTGTGAGCCGGAACTTGAGTCACCAGGGTTGCTAGTACCCGTAGTAGCCACGACTTTCTTTGATTTGTCATTTGGACTATGGTCCCACAAAGACCTTCTTATTGTGCAGCCTGGAAGCCTAGAATACAAGAGCTTCATGTATAAGACGTTTCTTGACCCAAAATCCCAGACTCCAAGTTGTGCTCCAGTGACAATGTAGACGCCAGAGAGATCACCTATAAAGGTATCAGGGTTCTCAATAGGTGCAGTACTAACATGAGAAAAGTTCTTCCATTTCACAGGTTCAAACCATCTGCTATCTTGCTCCTCAGGTCCCTGCCACTTGGGAGCACCTATTGCCACATGGGTATCCCAGTGTGGAAGTAGGATCTTTGGAAGAGAAGCTAAGTGTTGAAGATGAATACTCAGACGGTTCTGCTTGATTCCTTCTAGGCGTAACCGCAAGCCTGTCACTGGCTTACGTCCAACTGAGATCTGCATTTACATTGAGCCAAATTAGATGCAAAATCTTGTTATAACAACTCATGTTACCACTCCCGAGTAACTTTAATGTGGCGATTTATAATCAATGCTCTATATTCAAAGACTCCAGAACTGAAGCAAAGTTGTTTCATGGGGTGATAACCCAAAAACAAGGAATGGATTTTCTCAGATATATATATATATATATATATATTTTTTTTTTTTCTCAAGCATCCAAGCACTAGTTGTCCAAAAAAGCAGTAATAACAATAAAAATCTTTTGTATTTAATTATAAATAATACAGTAGTCCAACACCTCAAAATTGTCTTACTCTAATCAAATTTATGGTGAGTAAAGAGACTTATTTAGCGAGTGCCAGTAAAGAGACTTATTTAGCAAGTGCCAAAGCACCACCTATAAAAGGTAAAGTCTACTGATAACTCGCAAATTTAATAAACAAAAGATCCCAATATTTTAAGGTTTCGCTTGACCAAAGAATTTCATAAGGTTTAAAATTAGTCAAAACAGGACAATCGACTATTTAACAATGAGCCAAAAGAGCGGGCACTCTTTAGATGTGGATGTGACCTAAAAGCTCACTTTTGCTTCATTCAAACAATTGTAGGGATTGCATTTTAGTCATATGCCCATGCCACATTCTGGTTCTTAGAATGGGCACTGAGGTTATGCAATTGCAAAGGAAATTCCAGCTAATGAACAAACAAGAAAAAAAACTCAAAGAAAAACTCCTCTATTAAGGGCAAAATCAAGCTAGAGAAAGTTCAATAGTCAGGAAGGAAGAGAACAGATACTAAAGCTGGTAAAGTTTCTCATATTGGGAGACATAAAAAGGAAGGTGGCTTTCATTGTTTAACATTTCAGGACAATGTTGCTATTTCAATTTCCAGGACTGCAACAAGCATCAGCAATTCTCTATCATATGCATAAATGCATAAAGTACAAAACTATCAAGAAGCCCTTATACCTAGAACCAACATAATGCCAACAATTGTGCTCTTGTTTGTGCCATTCTTTGGAACAAGTCTCATCAACAAGTGGCACAGCTTGAAGTTTTAAGATGAAAATCTATGTTGCATAAACCTATACCTGCTCTTGGCTGACATAAAGTTTTTGCCCCATCATGCTGAATTGTAAAGATGGGCAAATAGGTTCCTTCCTTTGGTGGCCAGGAAACTTGTCCGGTATAGGAGCCCATATCCTAGGAATCTGGAACTCTAAAAAGTATCTTAGTTCTTCAATTGGAGGCTTGTCTGCAGACAATCAGACCGAATATTTTAGGACAAAGAGTTAATCATTAGCAAAATATAAATCAGAAAGAAAAGATTGCATCCAATCAACCACAAAGAATTAGTATTACATTCAAGATAAAGACCGATAGCATGAGTAAGATGCTCCTTTCCAGCTACCCCGTCAAGCAGAGCAGTAATAGGATAGAAAGTCATTTCAATGACATCTGGAGAGGACGGGACAGTTTTTACCCACTGGGTGTGGTTTTGCTCCAAATCATCTCCTCCCCTCCTCCGAAAAATAACTGTAACATCCTGCAACAACAAGAATTCCAGAAAATGAGACCAAGGCTTCATGGAGATTAAGTGAAACAAGGTCTAGCAAGTCACACACTGGAATTGACTAAAAAAAGCATATGATAAATAAAAAATTAACACTAAAATCAATGATTTCCTGGTAGAAAGCAAATAAATTTGCCCCATGCAAATAACATCTCTTGGCCACCAGAGGCAAGCTGCCATATGCATGTTCAAACATTATAAGGGATTTGCGCCGATGACCTAATCCTGAAGCAATCCATGGTAGAGTATCAAAGCAATAAACTGTATATATTAGTTAATCTTGCATGCTCGGCCATGATCAATGATATTGTAACTGTTCAATATCATTGCAATAAAAACATTTTAAGAGGTATAGTTGAAATACAACAAGAACAACCACAAAGCTTTTTCCAACAACATGACGTTGGCTACATGGATCCGACTCAACAATGGAGAAAACAAAAAAATGAAAATACAATATCCACCCCATAAAAATCAAGAGCCACCAAATTCAACAAATCATTACCAAAGCAACCAACCATTCCAAACCAATGGTACAAACTCACATGTTTGATTAATGACATTTAGATAAAATGTGAGGAAAATGCTGGGGGTGACTGGTACAGTAGTTTGAGTAGTGGATCTCAATATAAATAACTATCTATGCCTATTGCTTGATGTCCAACATGCTACATTGCATATGTGTACAAAGAACAAAGGCTAACTTTGTTTTGCAAATTAGTTTGTTTTCGTAATTTCAAAGCATTGGCACATCATATGACAAAACCGAATCCAAAATTTGAATATTAATATGCAAATCAATTTCCACTAATAAACTGCCAAGATATCTGAATACCTCTTTCCCATTAAGATATGGTGCACTGGTAGGCTGAGGGTATATCCCTTGACTGTTGAAGAAGCCAGGATCAAGACCCTGTAAAGCTCAAAAATTATATTAAGTCAGCAATGGTCAAGAAAGACACAGAAAGGTTGACAAAAATATGAAAGAAAAAGTGGAACTAGCCTTATCCTTTAATTTGATTTGACCTGAACTTGTAAGACTTGCTTTGTCAGAGAATCTATGATTTCCAATATCCTGCACATAGTTTTTAATCTCCATGGTAGACAAAGGTGAAGAGTGATGCTGTTTGATGTATATCACATCTTTACCACCGACAGTTACAGAAGTAATAACATGTGTCCCAAAATTTTCAATGAAACTGTCAAATAAAGCAATATTAGGAATTGAACCTATATTATAAGAGTTTTATATTTAAGACCAAATGGCTCATACCTTGCCAAGGATGGTGGGTCCCAAGAAGATGGGACAGCCCGTTTAACATTTTCTTGTAATGCCGATGGGGACTTTGTAAGCTGAAACTTGGCAAGTGGAACATAAAATCCATCCATAGAGAGTGTCTTTGTGGTCGCAGCATCAATATTTGTTGAACCAGTAAAGCTAAATGCAGAATTAAAACTACCAAGCGGAAAACCACCAGACACATTAGCTTTTTTATTAAAATATTCCACCATCTGCAGTTAGTAGTTAAGAGAAGCAAATTAGAAAATGTTAAACCAATAAAAATCAGGTTTGAAACAAATCAAAGAAAAACAAACCATTGGAAATAGTCTAAATAATGCTCTTAGGATCAGAAATGTTAGTGATGTTAATTCTGCATTCCATCATTGACAAAGAGTGCCCTTTGCTATTCAATTAGCATTATCTCTTTCTCCTGAAGATAACTACACCCATCATAATCAAATTCAGTGATCTTATGCATTGTCTTAATCATCATCATCAATAGTCAATCTAAGTTAATCCCTTAAACACTGGACCAAAAAAAAGTTAATCCCATAAACCAAATTTCAAACTCGCAACATAATTTGGAATAAAACACTATCAAAACATGAGCCTATTATTTGAGAACTCTATTACTCGCAGATGCAATGAGTGTTGGTTATATTAGATTAGCTTAATTGTATTTTCAAGGGTCACTGGCCCTCCTTTGTACCCAAAAAAAAAAAAAAAAAATGAGCTCGTTATACTTTGGTAGGAAAAATACATAATTAAAACATAATCAATTGCTAGAGATTTTAGGCTAACACTTAACATCAATGGACAATTGTACTTATCAAATTATATCTTAACAAAGCACATACATAAGAAATATTCAATGATGATAAGGAAAGACTTCGTGTGATAACTTCAAACCAAGTAGGGAAAGTTTAGATGAAACTGGAAGAGTACTCATTGAATAGATTGTACTTCAAAGAATTTTCTACATCCTCAGGCAGGGTTAATTACTTTCATGTGGTTGGAGTTTGTTCTATATAGTTACATTCATTCTTAATCTCAAATATCAATCAATTTAATTGGTCCTTGTTTCTCGTTTGTTTCATAGTCCAACTGCCACTTTTTTTTATCACCAAGATAATAAAGACTATATCTTGACTACAACCTTGTCAGAGGTCTCCAAACCTTTAACCCTAAAGTCAAGGCTTTACTCTGCATATCTAACAAAGCCACAGAAGAAACACAAGAACATAATTGTAAATTTGAGCAAACCCCTAAAATTAAGAAACTAGCGTAATTCAACAATAAAACACCCCAAAAAAGCAGAAACCAAAACCACAACAGTACCTCATGAAAACTGCGAAGCCCAGAACTGTGACGGGCAATAGGCTGCTGGGAGTTCTTGATATCCCTAGAAATATTGGGCAGAACAGTTTGATCGTCCAAGTAGATATCCCTACCATGATCCTCATCGATTTCAACTATCCTAGAACCTGTCACACCTTTACAGTACAATAACCTCGTATCGAAGTTAACATCAAATCCCCTCCCTAATGCCTGCACTGCGTTCATTGCAGTGTGCATGAAAGTGGCATTTCCATTTCCATTTTCCCCCATGTTTTTCATCACCAGAATTCCTTTCAACCTGCAACTTTTTCCTTGATCAGAATCATACCCACGTCACCAAATAAGCTCAGCTCAAAGACCCAATTCCCTGTTCCACTAAATTCCAAAGAAATCGAATGTGGGAGATGTGCTGATGGTGAAAACAACAATTTTGTTTCTCTCTTGAGAATGTGAAGTTGACTGAGAGACTATTACTGGCGAGAAAAAATTCGTTAGAGAGTCGGCGATGAGAGAATCAACAATTCTACTTTGTATTTAGAAAGGATCTGAAAGATAGCAATCCAATCTGATGGTTTTTCTTGAAATTCTCTTTTTCTGGAAGTGTTGGGTTAAAAAAAGTAAAAATAAATAAAGATCTGGTTTTGTATGCATTCACTGTAGAATTTCCAATAGCCCTTCATTGGCTCTCTCTCAAAAGTCTCTTTGGCAAATAGACCATACAAACTGTGATGTGAATTTTGCTTTAAATCTTAACCGTTTCTTTCTTCCGGACTCAGTCAGTGTTTCTCGAGTAAATGTTTTTTTTTTTTTTTTTTTTTATTTGCTTAGATTTTAGAAGATATACGATGGGGGATGGAAATACTTTTATGACTTCGAAATTCAATATTAATCTCTTAGAAAATTACTACTTTTATTATACGTGAATTGACATTTAATATTAAAATTATCTTTTTGAGTTGATAAAAAATTAAAATATCAAACGACTAAATTTTTTTTAATTGAATCAAAATGTAAGATGTACTAATGTTATTATATTCTTTTTGTTTTAAAATATTTGTGATGTATTAATTTTTATAAAATTAAAAAAATTTTGATTTAAATATATTTAACATTAAAATTTAATTTTTTAATAAAATTTAAATTTTTGTAATTTTTAATGTCAAAAATAAAAAAATTATAAAAAATAATTTTAAATATAAAATATAAGAATTTTTAAATGTTTAAAAAATATAATATAATTTTGAAATATTTCAGAAAAATTACAAAAAAAAAATGAAACTGAAAAGATAGTATAAAAAAAAATGTAACATTTTAGGAAGGGATAAAATTTGATTGGTTATAGGTAAATTAGAAACATATTACTATAGGTAAATTAGAAACATATTAACATATACAGCACAAGCATATTAGTTTATTATCCATTCAACGTCAAAGGACCAAAGACCAAAACTTTGATTTAGTCTTTAAATATAGCTAATATCTTCTTCGTCCACCCCCTTGGTCAGCTTTCGACATTAATTTTTTCTTTAACGTTACATCGTGGAATGAGTCTACTTTTCTTAATGACAACTACAAAGCTTTAGAAAATGCGGAAATTAAGCCAATACTATCCACAAATTCTTTTCCTTTTCAGTCCCTGATTAATAAGTTCCTACTCTTTCTCCACGTGTCATGAAAACCAACAGCATGATCTGACACCCATTCTTTCACAAGCATTCCGGCCGGCATCATTAATTATGCCAAAGTCACAAAACCAAGCAACCATCGAGCAACTTCTGGTCCCGGGAAACAGATGGCCCGCAGCCCAAAATCAAAATAAAAATGTTTTATATTATGTAAAATATTAAATTTTATATATTTATATCATATTTTATATAAAAATTATATATTATAATTTATATAAATATAAAAATATTTTTTTATTTTATTAAATTTATTTATAATTATTATTAAAATTTTAAATTATTTTATTTTTATATTATATTCATATTATGTTATGATATTTAATTTTAAATTAATGCTAAGCAAACTGCTTTTGCTCGAAAAATAGAAAGAATGTATTTATTGTAAGAGATGTGAATCCGTTTGTCTAACAGACTTTTTGTGCCTTGAGTTTATTTATGACATGAAAGATGTGAATCCAACATGACTGTATGATAAATGCCAAATAAGGGGACATATCTTCTGGAAGGCAAGGTCGCTCTAGCTGCACGCTCATATGGCATCAAACTAGTTAGTTATCTGTTAGTTCAAACTTTTGTCACGCACAACAAGTATGTGCGTTAAAGACTTGCAACTTAAAAGCAGCAGCATACACTGCCTGCAAATTGGACATGCTTTCAAATGGCAAGCGATTTGTCAACAATTCCCATAAAACAATTCCAAAGCTGCAAACATCAACCTTCTTGTGTAATGCTTTTTCTCTCCCTGACGCAATGTCACTGTGCCATACAACTACAATGACGCAGATTGACAATAAAAAGAGTGATAACCAAGAAAGAAGAACTGTATACAAAAGAGATTAGTTTTTGTTACATGAACAAACCATAACCATGACACACTGGTGACAAAATATTGTCCTTACATTATTGCCAGTTGTTGTCCAAAACTACAACAGACTAGAAAGTGGTTCCAGAGTACCTTACATCTATTAATCCTGTCAGCTACTAAATACAACACTACTAAATGATCCATGAGTCTATAAGTGTGAGAAATACATTAATTTCCAAGGTAAGAATGTGCCATACTCCTTCGAGCAGAAAACACAAATCATTTGTGCATACTAATAACTAAATTCCCTTAAGATGGATTCTCATGCAATCTCTTAGCCAAACTGCAGAAGTTGTAAAATTTGGGCAAAAACAGTATGTGATTATATCTGCAGCTAACGTGTTCGCCATCAACTGTGTGTGTTTGTCTGCATTACAGACAAAAGACTTATGGCTGAAAAGAACATTCCATGACTTACAGGGAAAGAAGCTTAAATATTGCATCTAACAAGATGAAAACAAAAACAAAAAGCTTCAATCTTCCTTGTAAATAGGATTCTTTGTCCATTTTGCTAATACAATAGTGGCGCGAACCTCAGGGGCCATCCAGCGATAAGTCCCAGTGTCGGCAGTCATCATCTCTGTCACAGATTCTTCACTCGCAAGGCCAAAATCTGCAAGTTTCACGGACCTCTGGTTTGCTGTAAGCAACAATTTGTCTGTATTGATAAATTTCCATATAAATTTACAATTAGTTAAAGGAGTCAAGAAGTAGATATTGAACAATGAACAAACGTATTACATCAAAGAGGAAATTACAATCCACATTCTGCTTTTAGTGGCATAGATTCAATCAGATACAGGCCTCAGCCACTGCAACTCCTAACCTAAAGTGTAGTATAGGATAGTTGTGTAATGCACATGCAGGTGTTCTTCATACCAATCCTATATAAAATTGGGGATAATATTGCTTGAACGAAGCATAAAAAACAGTGACAACAAAATACAACATTGCAGAAACAAAAAATTCAAAAAGAAAATTATCTAAGCCACCAATGCGCATCAAAGAAAGAAAAGAAATAGGAATTAAAGGAAAAGTGGCGAACTGTGTCCTAGTTGGTGGTACATAAACTTCAGTTTCTGCACACCTATGAAATAATTTGAAAGCAATGTAAGACTTCATGAACGCATGCATTATAAAGAGAGAGAGAGAGAGAGAGAGAGAGAGAGAGAGAAGAACTAGATCCTGCTATGAAAGAAATGATTGGATGGCCTTTGAATCCAATCACTAACAAATATTTCTATAAAAGAGCATTCCGTTGTAGCTGATGAGGTTTGTTAAAGAAATACCAGGCTTTAGATCTCTATGTATAATCCCGTTGGCGTTCAGACAATTCATGGTTAGAGCAATGTCCAGTGCAAAATTCGAAGGTCCAAAACTTTCGGACGGATGCTAATTAAATACTTGAGAAGGGACATTCCTGGTAATAGCTCAGTTACTATCGCCATCAGCGGCCTGACAAGCTCCAAAGAACTGCCAAGGCAACAAATTCCCTATTGCGGGTCAGAAATAGATATATGATAGATTCCATCAAATGACAGTCATATGAAAAGCATCAATAAATATACCATATTGCATTTCAAGTTTTGAACAGTCACCTTGACAAGGTTCTCATGTTTTACCCGAGACATCATGTTAACCTCACGAGTAAAACGACTCCCCAGTGCCACTCTTTCCTTTACAGTACTCCCAAGGTGAAGAACTATAATGGCAACAATCCGATCACCATACCTGGAAAATACGAGACACATACCTATGTAACTGAGACGGTACCCTTAGTGCACAGCCAAAATTGTACAATTTATTGCCATCAAATTGTTTCACTTAGAAACTTTACAAATTAAAACACTATCTCCAACCATCATTCAATAGCAAATTATTATCTCTACAAAAAATCTTGCAGAAAGTAACAACAAAGTTCTTCAAAGTAATATCAAGCTGATATTATATGCTTGTTTTAAGTTATATGATTAGAAAATGATTTATTTGTTTAAGTTTTAGTGTTATTTTCTTATATGTTTTAAGGGCCAATGAGAAAATGCTTGTTTTTTCTACTCTTTCCTTTACTCTTTTCCGAAGAATAGTATGGAATTTTTTGAGAGAGCTTAAACTAGCAAACGAACAGTACTGAACCTGAGACGTAGGCAAACGAACTGCCACACCGTGCCCGCAAATACCACCATTGCACATCTCATGATCATGAAAGGAAGCAGCTTGATCATGAGAAATCGCACAAATGGCTTTACGAGTGATACCCCACGTCAAGGTCCCTAAGATGAAACCCCCCACCGTGCTCGACACAATCAGGGAAAAGCCGCCACTGACGCTCCCCCACGTACTAAATCTTACGCCTTTATCCCCACTATCACAGCCACATAAATGATAATCAACTTCCTAATCATCGCATACGATATCACCATATCCCCTACAATTTCTTAATGTATGTATTACAAATCTCTAAATACAACATTTCACTTTTCTAATTCTTATGGTAAATTTACAACTCAGTAAATAATTAAAGAGCTCGCTGGGGTGAAGGTAAAAAAAATTAGAAGTACCCCTGAGAAGGAAAAAATTAAAATACTTTTTGTTTCTTCACTCCAAAAAAGCTTGTTACAACTATGATATAATATAATATATATTATATTATATATATGCACCAGATTTTCTTAAAATTTTTTTCTTTGTTACAACTACACTTACTTGCAATATATGAATTAATAAAAAATAAAGGATTAATTACATATTTGATATTAAAATTATAATTAAAATATTTATTTGGAATTTAAAATATAAAAAATTATAATTAAATATTTAAATTTGATTCCTAACACCGTTGACGAAAATAGATAGCAATCATTTCAATTTTCACTGCAAGTTTTTCTACCGAAAAATATCAACCACGTGGAGCTGAAGCGTGGCATCTGCCACGTAGCTATTGGACAGGTGCGCGGGGAACATTGGTAGGGTCTGGCATCTCCGTCAAAAACAGTGAAAAGGTAGACCCCACTTTGTGTCCATTTGCTCCGAAACTCGCAACATTCATTTCATCAGTCGCTGCTTACGTGTTACACTGTGGGCTCTACCTTTGACATTGTTTCCATGTTGTTTAACACGTGCCAAAAAGGATGAAAAATCCACGTGGCTCTGTCTCTTTTCTTTACAATTCACGCGAGAACAACCCGAACGTAATTTTTTTATTTAGTAGTGTTTGGGTTTGTTATAGCGAAAGCTAGAATTTTATT